CTGTTTTTTTGGTTTGCAATGAAGGAGTGCTGGGGGCTGTGTGTGGGTTCTGATCAGAAGGGGACTGTTCACGTGAACAGTCCAGATGCTACTGCAGCTGATTTTTTTCAGCTATTTTTTTGTTTCTTTCCTCGGTTCCAGCGGCTGCTCTGAATTAACTGGCTTTCAGCGGGATCCCAGCTGCTTTCTCTTATGGTGTTACTGCTGCTTTTCTGATGAATTTCAGCTGCCTCTGCTCTCACCCTTTGCAGCTGCTTTTCATGCGTCTGTTCACCTGATTACAGCTGGAATTTCAGCTGCTGTTCAACTGGATTAATGCCACTTTTGTGCCTTCTGCTGTTCAACAAAATTTCTATAATAGAAAAGAGAACAAAATACATATTATCAAAGAAATGCTAAGCAATTAAAGGTTAGGAAAATCATGAAAACAACAACGAAAAATGAAAAAAAACCTATCGGATAATGAGAATGTTGGAGGATGAAAATAATAGAAAGAATGCCTGTAATAAACAAAAAACACAAAACAAGTAGAAATAGTCAAGTGCAAAACATATTTTACATAGAAAAGAAAGTCAATGGATCTAGGACGAATTGATATATTTATCTTTTCAATCATAAGCTCCCTTTGCAAACTCCTAATGTTCTTCCATGATTTATCCTTTTGCTCCCCTCCAAATAATTTAACATTGTTTCCAACATATAACAACTTAATAGAAAGATAGTAGAAAAATAAAATAAAATAAAACATAATTTATTTAATAGAAAAACGAACAAAATATATATTATCAAAGAAATGCTAATCAATTAATGGTTAGCAAAAACATGAAAACAACAATAAAAATGAAAAGAAATCAATCGGAAAATGAGAGGGTTGAGAGATGAAAATAATAGAAAGAATGATCATAACAAACAAGAAACACAAAAACAAGTAGAAATAGTCAAGTGTAAAGCATAATTTACATATAAAAGAAAACCAATGGATCTAGGACGAATAGATATACTTATCTTTTCAAGCATAAGCACGCCTTGCAAACTTATCTCCTTCAACTCTTCTTAATATTTCAAAAGCAAATATCCATTCTACAAACAATTGAAACTAAAACACAAAATAGATTGGTCACGCACATAAATATGAAAATCTCAAAAACAACAACAAAAAATAATAAGAGACAAAAATAGGAGAAGAATGATGAGCTAGTGGAGCAAAAAAACAATAAACCCAAATCCCTATCCCCTAGGCCTTTAAACCTTAACTCTTAGCCCTTATTCGAGTAACCCCTATCCCTAACCTCTAACACCTAAACCACTAAACCATAACCCAAAACACGAAAAGCTCTATTCCCCGAGCCCTATGGCCTAAACCTCTTTGAATTCTACGTTCTATTAATCTCTTTTACGTGCTACAAACTCCTAATATTCTTCCATACTTTGTCATTTTGCTCTCCTCCAAATAATTCAACTTTCTTTCCAACATATAACAATTTAATAGAAAGGTAATAAAAAAAGAAATAAAACATAATTCCTAGAATAGAAAAGCGAACAAAATACATATTATCAAAAAAGTGCTAAACAATTAAAGGTTTGAAAAAACATGAAAACAACAACGATAAATGAAAAGGAACCTACCGGATACTGAGAGTATTGGGGGATGAAAATAATAGAAAGAATGATCATAACAAACAATAAACACAAAAACAAGTAGAAATAGTCAAGTGTAAAACATATTTTACATATAAAATAAAGTCAACGCAACTAGTACGAATATATATACTTATCTTTTCAATCATAAGCTCGCCTTGCAAACTTTTCTCCTTCAACTCTTCTCAATCTTTCAAAAGAAAACATCCATTCCACAAACAACTGAAATTAAAACACAAAATAGATTTGTCACGCACATAAATATGAAAATCTAAATAACAACAACAAAATATAATAAGAGACAAAAATAAGAGAAAAAAGATGAGCTAGTGGAGCAAAAGAAGCAAAAGAACACTAAACCCAAATCCTTATCCCCTAAGCCTTTAAACCTTAACTCTTAGCCCTTATCCCCGTAACCCCTACCCCTAACCTCTAACACCTAAACCCCTAAACCTTAACCCAAAACACCTATAGCTCTAATCCCCGATCCCTATGGCCTAAACCTCTTTGAATTCTACGTTCTATTAATCTCTTTTACCAGCTACAAACTCCTAATATTTTTCCATACTTTTGTCCTTTTGCACTCCTCCAAATAATTCAACTTTCTTTCCAACATATAACAATTTAATAGAAAGGTAATAAAAAAAAGAAATAAAACATAATTTCTAGAATACAAAAGCGAACAAAATACATATTATCAAAAAACTGCTAAACAATTAAAGGTTTGGAAAAACATAAAAACAACAACGAGAAATCAAAATGAACCTATCGGATAATGAGAGTATTGGGGGATGAAAATAATAGAAAGAATGATCATAACAAACAATAAACACAAAAACAAGTAGAAATAGTCAAGTGTGAAACATATTTTACATATAAAATAAAGTCAACGCAACTAGGACGAATATATATACTAATCTTTTCAATCATAAGCTCGCCTTGCAAACTTTTCTCCATCAATTCTTCTTAATCTTTCAAAAGCAAACATCCATTCCACAAACAACTGAAATTAAAACACAAAATAGATTTGTCACGCACATAAATATGAAAATCTAAAGAACAACAACAAAACATAATAAGAGACAAAAATACGAGAAGAAAGATGAGCTAGTGGAGCAAAAGAAGCGAAAGAACAATAAACCAAAATCCTTATCCCCTAAGCCGTTAAACCATAACTCTAAGCCCATATCCCCGTAACCCCTACCCCTAACCTCTTTGAATTCTACGTTCTATTAGTCACTTTTACATGCTACAAACTCCTAACATTCTTCCATACTTTGTCCTTTTGCTCTCCTCCAAATATTTCAACATATAACAATTTAATAGAAAGGTAATAAAATAGAGAAATAAAACATAACTCCTAGAATAGAAAAGCGAACAAAATACATATTATCAAAAAAGTGCTAAACAATTAAAGATTTGAAAAAACATGAAAACAACAACGATAAATGAACAACAACAAAATATAATAAGAGACAAAAATAGGAGAAGAAAGAGGAGCTAGTTGAGCAAAAGAACACTAAACCCAAATCCTTATCTCCTAAGCCTTTAAACCTTAACTTTTAGCCCTTATCCCCGTAACCCCTACCTCTAACCTCTAACACCTAAACCCCTAAACATTCACCCAAAACACCTATAACTCTAATCCCCGAGCCCTATGGCCTAAACCTCTTTGAATTTTGCGTTCTATTAATCTCTTTTACATGCTACAAACTCCTAATATTATTCCATACTTTGTCCTTTTGCTCTCCTCCAAATAATTCAAATTTCTTTCCAATATATAACATGTTAATAGAAAGGTAATAAAAAACAGAAATAAAACATAATTTCAAGAATAGAAAAACGAACAAAATACATATTATCAAAAAAGTGCTAAACAATTAAAGGTTTGGAAAAACATGAAAACAACAACGATAAATGAAAAGGAACCTATCGGATAATGAGAGTATTGGGGGATGAAAATAATAGAAAGAATGATCATAACAAACAATAAACACAAAAACAAGTAGAAATAGTCAAGTGTAAAACATATTTTACACATAAAAGAAACTCAACGCAACTAGGACGAATATATATACTTATCTGTTCAACCATAAGCTCGCCTTGCAAACTTTTCTTCATCAACTCTTCTCAATCTTTCAAAAGCAAACATCCATTCCACAAACAACTGAAATTAAAACACAATATAGGTTTGTCACGCACATAAATATGAAAATCTAAAGAACAACAACAAAACATAATAAGAGACAAAAATAAGAGAAGAATGATGAGGTAGTGGAGCAAAAGAAGCAAAAGAACACTAAACCCAAATCCATACCCCTAAGCCTTTAAACCTTAACTCTTAGCCCTTATCCCCGTAACCCCTACCCCTAACCTCTAACACCTAAACCCCTAAACCTTAACCCAAAACACCTATAACTCTAATCCCCGAGCCCTATGGCCTAAACCTCTTTGAATTCTACGTTCTATTCATCACTTTTACATGCTACAAACTCCTAATATTCTTTCATACTTTTGTCCTTTTGCTCTCCTCCAAATAATTCAACTTTATTTCAACCATATAACAATTTAATAGAAAGGTAATAAAATAGAGAAATAAAACATAACTCCTAGAATAAAAAAGCGAACAAAATACGTATGATCAAAAAAGTGCTAAACAATTAAAGGTTTGGAAAAACATGAAAACAACAACGATAAATGAAAAGGAACCTATCGGATAATGAGAGTATTGGGGGATGAAAATAATAGAAAGAATGATCATAACAAACAATAAACACAAAAACAAGTAGAAATAGTCAAGTGTAAAACATATTTTACATATAAAAAAAGTCAACGCAACTAGGACGAATATATATACTTATCTTTTCAATCATAAGCTCGCCTTGCAAACTTTTCTCTTCAACTCTTCTCAATCTTTCAAAAGCAAACATCCATTCCACAAACAACTGAAATTAAAACACAATATAGGTTTGTCACGCACATAAATATGAAAATCTAAAGAACAACAACAAAACATAATAAGAGACAAAAATAAGAGAAGAATGATGAGGTAGTGGAGCAAAAGAAGCAAAAGAACACTAAACCCAAATCCATACCCCTAAGCCTTTAAACCTTAACTCTTAGCCCTTATCCCCGTAACCCCTACCCCTAACCTCTAACACCTAAACCCCTAAACCTTAACCCAAAACACCTATAACTCTAATCCCCGAGCCCTATGGCCTAAACCTCTTTGAATTCTACGTTCTATTAATCACTTTTACATGCTACAAACTCCTAATATTCTTTCATACTTTTGTCCTTTTGCTCTCCTCCAAATAATTCAACTTTATTTCAACCATATAACAATTTAATAGAAAGGTAATAAAATAGAGAAATAAAACATAACTCCTAGAATAGAAAAGCGAACAAAATACGTATGATCAAAAAAGTGCTAAACAATTAAAGGTTTGGAAAAACATGAAAACAACAACGATAAATGAAAAGGAACCTATTGGATAATGAGAGTATTGGGGGAGGAAAATAGTAGAAAGAATGATCATAACAAACAATAAACACAAAAACAAGTAGAAATAGTCAAGTGTAAAACATATTTTACATATAAAAGAAAGTCAACGCAACTAGGACGAAT